CTAGAAGCGTCCGAGTGAAAACGCGCTAAGGCTCTCAAACCTTCCAGGTTCGAACTTCAACTCTTCCCCTCTTCTCATGTTTTTTTCTTTGCTTTCATGTTCTGATAATCTGCCTATCAAATATATTGGATAGTCCATGGAGTTTTGAGGCTCGAAACAGCCAAGTATGTGGATCCCAAGCTATTCCGGTTATCCGTACTCATGTTTATCTTTTCTCTAGGGACTTCCATGTCGACACAATCATAACCCTTTGACGACCCTCTCACGACCCTCTAGCTTTATTTCCCCCGGGAAACTGCCCATCGGGCTTCTACCCCACAATGGGAGACAAAGGCCAGTATATCCCACCCCTCGTGGGGTGGATGTATGATTTGGTCCTTTGGACATTCTCCGTGCTCATTGACCTCTTCTTCCGCGAAGTCCATCCTCGAGGCTCATGGAAAATCCCCCGTCGCGGTCCCATCATTCTGGTGGCAGCTCCCCATGCGAACCAGGTATGCCGCTCGCTTCCGGTCACGACACACACCACACAAGATGCTAATGAGAGATGTTCGCTCAGTTCGTGGATTCTTTGGTGTTGATGCGCGTCATTCGCAGTGAAGCGCAACGTCGGATCTCATGGCTTATTGCAGACAAGTCTTTCAAACGCAGGTTCATCGGATTTTTGGCGAGAGCAGTTGGGACACTGCCCGTGGCACGTGCTATGGACAACTTGAAACATGGGGCCGGCACCATCTACCTTCCCGACCCGATCAACGAGCCAACTCTGCTACGAGGTGTTGGAACCAACTTTGAAGGAAAGGACTTCGAAAAGGACGGAACTATTGCCCTGCCCACCATCAACGGAACTTCACACAGTACCGCGATCGCCGAGATCAAGGGACCGGAGGAATTGGTGCTCAAGAAAGCGTTCAAGCACAGGGATGCGATAGCCCAGCTTACTGGACGGAAAGACATTGACCGTGATGGAAATTTCACTGGAGAGGCATCCGAGCAGGATCCAGATTTCAAGGGCACCAAATTCAAGGTTGCTCCGCATGTGGATCAGACCGCAGTCTATCAGGCAGTCTTCAAAAGACTAGGCACAGGCGGCTGTGTCGGTATCTTCCCGGAAGGTGGAAGCCATGATCGTACTACACTGCTTCCTTTGAAAGGTAAGCTTAAGCTCTTTGTGTTCAATAGATCCGAAAGATTTCCTGACACAATACAGCTGGTGTCGCCCTGATGGCTCTAGGCACCCTGGCTGAGAACCCGGACTGTGGTTTGAAGATCGTGCCTTGTGGCATGAACTACTTCCATGCCCACAAGTTCCGCTCCCGAGCCGTTATTGAGTTCGGTACTCCAATTGACATCCCCTCGGAATTGGTAGAGCAATTCAAGCAAGGTGAACGACGGGAGTCTGTCGGTGCTTTGCTGGAAATCATCTACGGAAGTCTCGTCTCGGTCACCGTCACTAGTCCCGATTATGAAACTCTTATGGTAAGCTTCTTTCTATTTGGAGGAATTTACTTGCGCTGACAATTCAAAGGTCATCCAAGCTGCCCGTCGTCTGTACAACACCAAAGGCAAAAATCTTCCTCTCCCTATGGTTGTGGAGCTGAACCGCCGTCTTGTGAAAGGTTATGCCCACTTCAAAGACGACCCCCGGATCGTCGGACTACGCAAGTCTATTGTAGGATATAACAAACAGCTTCGCCTTCTTGGAATCCGGGATCACCAAGTGACCTACGCCAAGTTCTCCATCTTGCAGGTGGTGGCTACCTTAATTTACCGCCTAGGTAAATTAGTACTCCTGGCAATCGGGACTCTCCCCGGTTTCCTGCTCTTCACCCCCGTTTTCATCGCGACCAAGTACCTCTCTGCAAAGAAGTCCAAGGAAGCACTGGCTGCTTCTACCGTGAAACTTCAAGGTCGAGATGTCATGGCCACGTGGAAGCTTCTTATTGCCCTTGCATTTGCTCCGGCACTGTATGCATTCTACACTGCTTCCCTCACTTATTGGACGTACTGGAACCGAGTTAATGGATTGGTTCCAGACTGGGTACCACTTTGGTCGGTGGTCATGATCGGCATGGTACTCTTCCCCACAATCACCTTTGCGGCTCTTCGGATCGGTGAAGTGGGCATGGACATCATCAAGTCACTTCGCCCGCTTGTTCTATCCCTGAACCCATCATCGGCCAACACGCTGGTGAGACTTCGAGAGAGACGCGCTGCACTGGCTCACCAAGTGACGGAGGCGATCAATACCATGGGACCTGAGCTATTCCCCGACTTTGACGCCGCTCGGGTTGTCACCGATCCATTCCGAGAAGCCAGCAATACCGATACCAAGGCCGAAAGCGGCTTGCCAGAGATTAGAAGAACCAGCGTGTCAGACCATACCGAGAAAATGCCCTCATCAGAGCCCCTTCCCCGCAACGAGTCCTTCCACAACCTCGCCAACATTGGCTTCTTCTCCACACGACCTCCTAGTCGTGATCGTAGCCGCAGCCGATCTGCTAGCACCCGATCTGGTTCTCGGCACGGACTGAAGCCGCTCAGCACTCTCACCCAGAAAGACCCGCTTGAGGACGTTAGTTCACGGATCCGTGATGCCATGAGAGAGCGCGGAGAGCGTCGTCGGCGTCGAAGCGAAGATGGAAGCTGGGATATGGCCAGCTCAGGTCCGGGAACTCCATCCAGCACTGAGGAGTCCCGAAAAGACCATTGAGATGTGTACTGCATTGATCATTTAATCATTTATCATCCCGACCATTAAGCACGGTGTTCGGTGCAAAGCTGTGCAAAGCTGTGTACGTATTTGCTCTTATATAACCATTCAAGATATCCTGTCTGTGTTTTTTTTTTTTTTTTTATGATTATGAATGTCACCAAACATCCATCTAGGGGGTCAACTACTTATACATGAAGAATCTAATAATAAGCGTAATCAGTAAGGGAGAATCGTGTATTCTCGTGCCCTTCAGGCAGCAATTACGTCTCTTCAGTACGAGGCTTAGAGGATGTAGATACGAATCACATAGCCGAAAGTAACATATTTCTAAACCCAATAGGCATCATCCAAGGTCAACCAAGGTCAACCAATTATGAAGATGTTGGCTGTTGCCCGGGGGCAGGGCTGATCTTGGCTGATTCATTTTCTTGCTCTCGCCACTTGCACAGGACTTACGTTGAGAGTAGGGGGCAAAAAAAAAAAAAAGAGGCCCCCCCTTTAGAAGCTAAAATTGCACATGAAAATAGTGTAGCCTAGGTACTTGAATTGCATCGCCTCAATATTATTCTAAAAATTGCCCATTTTGCCCATAGCAAAAAGAAAAAAAGACTGTCATAATTGACCACGTCGCGTTTTTGTAGTACGAAGCCGAATCCGGCCAGCCGCTAACCCGGGCACCTTTTATCTTCTACTCCGTATCCAGTCTCTACCCCAACTTCTCGATTTTTCTGCGGAGTTTAGGGGGCATTATATCTTTTTCACATATTCATCATGCCGGGTTCATTACATATGTCACGTCTCCGGAACTGGTTCCTCGCCTCTCCGCCTGCCGAGTATGCCATTACGAGCCTCAAGGAACTGCTGATCGGCGCACTTCAACAGGGCCCTGTCCCCCAACATGTGGCTTTTGTCATGGATGGAAACAGGCGCTTTGCCCGGTCGCATGGAATTGAGACAGTGGAGGGACATAATCTGGGGTTTGAAGCTCTTGCAAGAGTGAGTGCCACCATTTTGGCAGCTCGGCGTTACACGACAGCACCCGTATTTTGGCCCGATACTAACGACCGATAGATCCTCGAAGTCTGCTATAAGAGTGGAGTGAAGGTAGTTACGATCTACGCGTTCAGCATCGAGAACTTCAAACGGTCAAAATTCGAGGTGGATGCGCTCATGGAAATGGCCAAGGTGAAGCTGTCGCAGATGGCTCAACACGGAGATCTGCTCGATCGATACGGAGCAAAGGTTCGCGTCCTGGGTCGTCTCGACATGCTCAAACCCGACGTTTTGGAGGCGGTCAACAAAGCCGTCGACATGACCAGCCGCAATGGCGACCGCGTCCTCAACATCTGCTTCCCCTACACCTCCCGCGACGAGATCACCTCCGCTATCCGCGACACGGTCGAGGATTATACCACCCCCATACAACAGGGACGCTCCGCGGCTGCCGCTTCCCGCTTCTCGGAATCCCATATCACACATAATATCCGCGCCCAGACGCTCGGCTCGACAACACTTGAATCACAAAGTGACTCTGAGTCTACATCGGGCTCTTCGGGACAGGATGACGACGCATTTCCTCGGCAGGACTACTCCGACCGAGTCTACGGATCGATGTCTTCCTGCTCGTCTTCCACAACCCTCCACCTCGGAAACCAGCAAGACCCCAAGGGCAGCTCACCACCGAGGTCTGCAACTGAGGCAGATAGCCCAGTTTATATCTCCCCCGAAACCATCTCTCGTCAGACTTTAAACGATCACATGTTGACCAAGGGAACTCCCCCTCTGGATATCCTGATCCGCACGTCAGGCGTCGAACGCCTGAGCGACTTTATGCTCTGGCAGACCCACGAGAACACCGAAGTTGTGTTCCTCAACGTCATGTGGCCAGAATTCGACCTGTGGCACTTCCTACCCGTGATGCTCGGATGGCAGAGGCGGATTTCCAAGTCTCGACAGGACCCCAATGCAGAGGGGAACTTTGCCGGCGACGCAAAATCGAGCGAGGAAGGCCCAGACGCGATGCTATGGCGTCAAGGTGGAAAGGTCAAAGACATCTAGTAAATTGTCTGTTATATACCCTGTGTCTACTTGTTTTTGTTCAGCTTCAGCATCCACTGGCGTCTTGCTTTTTGCGGAGTTTCTGTTGGGCACGCCTGACTTGATATCAGCATATATCTATGCATCGCCGTACACTACATCGGTCCTCGGTAAATAAAATATCATCTACTTCCTAATCCGCCACCTCCTATATGCCAGATCCATTCATGGATGCTGTCCACATTTGATGTATAAGAATAATAGGTGCCTATTTTGCTTCTCTAACATTTCTTTTCCCCATGACGATCATAGACTATGTTTTATCTCCATCTCTCTCTCCTCCAATATACGTTGGAGCCGTCGCACCCTTGATGTGGCTATGAGTGGCCAGGGTGTAGAAGACTCGGTATCGCAAGAGCAGCTGGTAGTTGGGGATGAGAATGGTGTTCAGGGGCGTTTTGAATGAACGCCTTTGTCGTGCGGTAACCTCCTGCCTCCAAGTGCAGGGCCACAACCTACGATGTGGGGACTTCCAAGGCGGGAAGTTCAACAGCACAAACCGCAACCGCAAGAGTTCCAGACCTAGTCATGCTTAACGCCAATTCCGCCATTAAGGTCGTCGGAGAAATCAAAACTCCATGGCCCCTGAGCCACATCGAAATGCTGAGCCTTGGGGTGGACCTGTTTGAGAGAGGGAATGGCGACTGGCTTCGCCATATACTTGGTATGTATAACATAGTATACACTAGTTATACTGACGACTTACGAATGTACTAATATATTTTACAGGCCAGTCCATTACTCTAGATAACAATACAAGGATCCATGATGTCTTTATCGACGACTTTTTCCCTTCCTAGTAAAAACAATTGGCCACAAACACCAGGCGGTGAAAAGTGATCTTTTGATGTTCACCCCGCGCCGATACCGGTTCACGTGACGTTGAGTCATCTGCCGTATACCGGTCCCACAGAGAAGGACTGCCGGATGTGCTCGAGTTGAACAACTCCAACATCATCTATCATACCAATTGAATCAAAATGGTCAAGCAAATTGCCGGTTCCAAGGCCCTCCTATTGGGTTCGGGCTTCGGTACGCCTCCCTCCCGCCTCTCCAAAGACAACTGACCTAAATGCGTCATACTGCCCCGCATCAAGCTTCGAGAGTCATACATTTGCTAATTTCCGATCACTAATAGTCACCAAGCCTACTGTTGAGGTCCTCAGCAAGGCCGATGTCGAGGTCACTGTCGGTATGTTCAATTGAATCTATGCGGACCCACATTGCATTGGATATAGCTGACGATGCTGTAACAGCCTGCCGTACTCTCGAGAGCGCCCAGGCTCTTGCCTCTGGCTTCAAGAACGCCAAGGCCATCTCTCTGGATGTCAACGATGATGCCGCCCTCGACGCTGCCCTGAACCAGGCTGATGTTGTCATTTCGCTTATCCCATACACTTTCCACGCCACCGTTATCAAGTCTGCTATCCGCACTAAGGTAACTATTCTTTCTATGGATGAAGCGGTCACTTGACTAATTCACTACAACAGACTAATGTGGTCACCACATCCTACGTTTCCCCTGCTATGTTGGAGTTGGATGAGCAGTGCCGTGAGGCTGGTATCACAGTCATGAACGAGATCGGTCTCGACCCTGGTCTTGATCACCTTTGTAAGTGTCTATGCCATGGATATAAACAGACAGATGCTTATACGAAATAGACGCCGTCAAGACCATTCACGAGGTCCACGCTGCTGGCGGCAAGGTTACCGGATTTGTTTCCTTCTGTGGAGGGTTCGTTCGATCATTCTCATGTTATATAAGGAATACAGCTAACAAACAACAGTTTGCCCGCTCCCGAATGCTCCAACAACCCCCTGGGATACAAGGTTAGTGAAAGTCCAATTCTCACCAATTTGATAAATGACTAACAAATGGCTTTTCAAGTTCTCATGGTCTAGGTTAGCAAACGTCCAATGCTGAGTTTCTGCTTGAACAAATGACTAACTAGCTCAGCCGCGGTGTGCTTCTTGCCCTCCGTAACGCCGCCAAGATCTACCAAGGTACGTACTCTATTTAAATTTGACAGGAACCAAAGAATGCTAATTCAGAATACAGATGGTGAGATCGTGTCCATCGACGGCCCCGATCTGATGGCTACTGCCAAGCCCTTCTTCATCTACCCCGGATTCGCCTTCGTCGGCTACCCCAACCGTGATTCTGTATGACACCTATGCATTCAAAGTCTCTGATTTGGGTTAACTAATTTTCCCAGACTCCTTTCCGCGAGCGTTACGGTATCCCCGAGGCCCAGACCGTTATCCGCGGTACCCTTCGCTACCAGGGCTTCCCCGAGATGATCAAGGTCCTTGTCGACATTGGTTTCCTCAACGATGCCCCCAACAGCGTCTTCGATAAGGCCACCTCATGGAAGGAGGCTACCAAGGAAGTTCTCGGCGCCACCTCTTCCTCCGAGAAGGATCTGCAGTGGGCCATCGCCTCCAAGACTAAGTTCCCTAACAACGACGAGCGCGATCGTCTCCTCTCCGGCCTGCGCTGGATCGGTCTCTTCTCCGACGAGCAGACCATCCCCCGCGGAAACGCCCTCGACACCCTCTGCGCCACCCTCGAGCAGAAGATGCAGTACGGCCCCGACGAGCGTGACCTTGTTATGCTCCAGCACAAGTTCGAGATCGAGAACAAGGACGGCTCCAAGGAGACCCGTACCTCCACCCTGTGCGAGTACGGTAACCCCGTCAGCTCGGCTATGGCCCGCACTGTTGGTATTCCTTGCGGTGTTGCCGTTAAGCAGGTTCTCGATGGTACTATCAGCAAGACTGTATGTTTATCCATTTCTCTTTTGCTCTCGAAATTCTTTTTACTGACGGATATATAATAGGGTGTTCTTGCCCCCGTTACTTGGGATATCTGTGAGCCTCTTATCAAGACTCTGAAGGAGGACTACGGTATGGAGCTCATTGAGCGCACTCTGTAAAGGGTGTAGTCGAATCTTAAAATAAATAGATTTTCGGCTGGTTAAAAATATAGGCATGACATAGACGATGAATGAACAAACAATGTGCATTGCTATTCTACATTCCATTCTATCAATGGGGAGGATAGGTAGATCAAAGTGATCATTTGCAATAAGGCTTGGATCCATCTTCCCGAAGGCTAGTCACCTAGATAGACATTGGCGGCTTCTATGATAGATTCCATCTTTAATGGGCCTGTTATTTGACTCTTTACCGGGTAGAGGTGTTCTTCCCAAGAGACAGCCCTAATCTCGAGTCGGCCATCTGCCATCTCAGAACCTCCCATATACTCGAAAGCCCGAGGCTAAGCCCAGCAATCGGAGTATCTAGCATACTATCTATCAAAGCAGCTTGAGTAGATCAAAACGTAAACTTATCTTCATTATCATAGACATAACACCATTCCTCTTATCATAGCATCATTGTGTCCAACCCAACACACAACTGCAAGGGCCACACGGGTGGGGGAAAAAAAGAAAAGAGACACGAATTGAAGAAAGAAAGCAGGCGAATCATCTAGTTGCTTGCGCTTTTTGCAATCTTTATCTGTGGCCAATTCATGAGAGAGAAAGAGGATAGAAGTCTTTTCGGACGAATGCATTGTTTTGTGTCTTTCATGTCATCGGTAAGAGATGTAGTCGATCAGAGAATACTGCCAAACCTACACCAATGAGAATAACAAGTATGATTAGTAACTGGTTCCAGTATTGCGAAGTTTTTGAGGAATGCTGAGATCTGTAGACAGAGGCCGGATTGGCAAATGAGACCAGAAAAAAAAAGACGAAGGTGGGTAAATCAGAAGAAGATGGATGTGCAGGAAAGAAGAAGAAAAAGAAGAAGCACTGGAGAGGTGAAGTGGAATGACATACCCGAAAGTCTGCTTAATGCTGCGAACATAGTACATGTCCCAGTTCTGCTTGGTGACATCCTCCTGTCCAACCGGAACACCAGACCAAGAAACACGCATCTGAGTAACACCGTCGATATCATTCTGATCGAAGTTGATCTCCTGCGAACTGAAGTGACCCTCGGGCCACTGAGCAAGACGCCACTTCTGGACAATCTGCTTGGGCTCGTTGAGGGTAACGAACTCTCCAGTTACGTTTCCATCGAAGATAGCGAACTTACCGCCGACCTTGGCGCCCTCGAACTGGCGCGGCGCGCCGCGCGTGAACGCAGTGATGCGCTGCGGGTCCGTGAAGGTGTTGTAGAGTTCTCCAGCTGTGGTGCGGAACTCGTCCGAAGCCGTCACGGTGGTTGTGTTGACGGCGACCTTACCGGTCTTGGAAGTGGTGGTGGACTGCGCGGCTGGGGTGTCGGCCTTGGTTTGAGGGTGGAGGCTGGCCTTGGGGAAGCCGCTGGATGGGTTGACGCCTGGGGCGTGCTGAAGGTCCTTGCCGTGCTCGGTGATCAGGGCCGGGGTGAGGCCGGATAAGGCCTTGCGGAGTTCGACGACGAGCTTTGTGCGCACCAGGTCCTTTACGGGCTGCTTGGAGTTGGAGTCGGCGTGGTTTTCAATCTCAAACTGCAGACGGGGGTTTTACATGGTTAGTATTACAGATCACCTTGGCGATGGGGAATGGGGACAAGTGAACATACGACGTACTCATCTTCCTCGGTGTCGTGGGCTACCTCGGGAATGTTGATGGTGCCGGTGACATCCTCATCGTCCTTGGTCTTACCTATGGAAGCGTCTCAGCTGCCAGGTCCACAAAAATAGAGAAAAAAAACGTGAAATTGAAATAAACTGAAATTGATATTGGACTACAAACCTGAGTATTCTAGCGAGACCTTGACATCGAACAGAGTGATGACCTTGCCCTTGCGCTGGCTGACATCTACGTCGCCGTCCATGGACAACACCTTGGCTACTTTGGCTGACACGCCCCCTTCCTCGACACTGACGCCGACTAGGTTCTTTTCCAAGTAATCCTTGGCCCAGCCAGAGGCATCCTTGTTGACCCAGTGCCAGTTGTTGGGGTTGTGAAGGACCATGATGGATGTTGACTAGGGGAATGAAAGAAAACTCTGATTTGGGGTTGGAAAGTGGGTTGTTTCCTGTTTTTTAAAGAAATAAATCTGGGGAGAAAAAAAAAAGAGAAGTGTGCTAAACGTTCTGTTGGAAATTCCTGTTAGCCATGATCTCTTTCTCGCCGTGGATGAAAATTGCATGTGAAGGAAAGGCCAATGTCAGGTCTCGGGGCGTATCCCGGACTTGTTAAGCGTTGTCCGCAAGTAGATGGAGAAACATCTCTCAGACTGGTGCCAGCTGAAGTCTCTTCATGTAAGGCCATTGAGTGCTGTCGAGGGGCAGGTTGAAACCACAACCCTCTTCTCACTCAATGTGGAATGTAATAAAAGCAAAAAGATAATTGAAACTTACAGTTGGTGTAATCAAGTCCAGAACATCAAGGACATCAAGGACTCTGGAGGTGAAATAAAAGAAAGGAGAGTCGAGGGGAAAAAGAGCTATTTGAAGGACGGCGGAAGACTCTAGAAGGTGCACGTGACTGTGGATAACGCTAGCGACTTTCTCTACTCTTCTTCACCACCAGCCATATTCCCATATTATTGGGGATTTCACGCCAATTGACAAATTAAGTCCTTTTATTAGTTGAAATATGTGTTTACATATATATTCAACACTCACATCCCTAAAGGAGACCAAAAACTCAAGTGTCGCAGGCCACTGCCTCGCATCACTCGATCTATAACGAACGAATGGGGATATCACGCTGCCAAGTACATAGCAAAAAAGAAATAAAATCACAAAAAACCACTCTTCTATTCCTCCAATTGTTCCAATTCCTCCCAACCATTTTCA